AGCTATCAAGGATCTCAATTTCAATAGTCATGAAAAAGTGTGTCAAACTCGTATTTAAACTCGTTATTCGGCTGAAAAATGATCAAAAATGGAATCTACGACGAAAAATACATTAGATGAGTGTAATTTGCTCTATTCTACGGGTGGGAAATCTCCGTAATCAGGGAAAATAAGACGCGTGATGCGCGATGACCGACCCCTCCTATTGACTCGATCCACCGTGCGTCGTGCCGATCCGGGCGTCGGAGGTGCCGGCGGGACCGCGGGGTCGGGAAAGATACGGGGATCGCGCGTCGGGCCCCGCGCCCCTCGCGCCCTCCGAAAGATCGCTTATCCCGTTCGTCCCGCTGGGAGATGCGCGGTTTTTCGTTTTCTCCGTGCTGTTCGTTCTCGGTCAGCTGATGACTCGGCTGTCCGAGGCGTTCGTCGTCATGGATATTCGTCGTTTATGAAGAGTTCCGATTTTTTCGTACAGTGCGCGTCGTCTTTTGAATTTTGTTAATATTTGTCGTGTATGAAGAATCCCGAATTTTTAGTAAAAAGCGCGTATTCGTTTTAATATTGGGAATGGATCGGAGTCAAAAACGTGGGCGTCCGGCGAAGCGTGGCAATGTTTCTCGCAATTTATCCGTGCGACAGTGCGACATGATGGCTATCTCAGTGAGATGGATAATGTACGACGTAGGGGTGAACAGGGAAATAACCTCAATCCATTTCGGCAGAGCACTGATAATTTTATCGAAAATGATTAACCGGAAAATAATTTCGGACTTTTAAATGTGAAGTGCCAGTATTGTGATGCCTTGCATTTCAAAAAAGAGGAGGTGAACGGCCATTTTAACAGATGTTGTCACAATGGTCTTCTCAGACTTGCCGAGCCTGGGATCAATGACCAACTTCGCGACCTGTTCCATCCCATCTTCATGACTAACATTTTGAGGTACAACAGTTGTATGGCTTTTGCATCGCTGTCTGCTTCCAAAGCTCATATAATTTTGAACCAAATCTTCTGCCAACCAAATATCTGTATTAAGTCCTCATTGTGATCCAATGATTTATCCTTTGCTCTATCCTCATGGCGAACCAGGCTGGGATCCTAAAAGCATAATGGACATAATGGGAGCATAATGGACCACGCAAGCAGCCAAATCGCGAACATGTAACCATGCTACAATTCGCGTGTTACAGGCTTGCCATTAGAACAGCATTTTCCCATATTCACCAATCAAAGAAATTATTTCAACAATACATTGTAGATTTATATGTTCAAGTCGAAGGTGAGAGGCTTCATTATATTAGAGAGCATCAGTCCGAACTCAGAGTTGAACAGTATGCTGGGTTGCAAGATTTTGTTCTGAATAAAGCAAGAGTCGATAATATGAATGTTGGAGGAATTGTAGTTTTACCATCTTCTTTTGAAGGCAGCCCCCGTAATCTTATTCAAAGATATCAAGATGCCATGGCAATTGTCCGCGTGTATGGCAAACCAGACATTTTTTTGACAATGACGTGTAACCCGAAATGGTCGGAAATAACCGCTGCTTTAGCGCCAAAAGAAACTGCTGTAGATCGTCCAGATTTAGTTTCACGAGTTTTTCATTGCAAACTGGATCAACTACTAAGAGATGTATTAAAAGAAAATGTTCTGGGTAGAGTTGTTGCACATGTTTATGTAATTGAATTGCTAAAGCGTGGTCTCCCACATTGACATTTGCTCTTAATTTATTAGCAGAAGATTTTGTTCAAAATTTAGAGTCGTAAATATGGATTGTTTCTCATGAAAGCGATGAATTAAGGACGGAAATTTTGAAACACGGCAATGGAGATACGTGGTTTCGCACTTCAGTCGGTGCGATACGGACATCCATCAAGATTAAAAAAATGCATCAAGTCCCCGTCACCGCCGACCAACGCGTTTGTCGATCGAATCAACTACAGGTAGTATGAGCAGGGGGTCAAAACGCCTTCAATTTTCTGAACGCAACACGGACATCCGTCGAGGTTGTATAATTGTATCAAGGCGCCGTAGCAAACGCGTCCCATTGTTTATCGTTACATACGAATATAGGTTGAGAGAGGCCAGTCATAATGCCTTCAATTTTATACATACATATTTTTGGGCAAAATGAGAGACGACGTTTCTCCTTTTGCGACGTTGCAGACTTCCTTAGAAATTTTATTTTTCTTTCGAGAAGCTGGTCAGCATAAAACTTAAATTCTCCGTGATTTTTCGTATTCGATAGCAGAAGATTTGATTCAAAATTATATGGGCTTTGGAAGCAGACAGAGATGCAAAAGCCATACAACTGATGTACCTCAAAGTGTTGGTCATGAAAATGGGTTTGGAGAAGAGGTCGCGAAGTTGGTCTCTGATTCCAGGCTCCGCAAGTCTGAGAAGACCATTATGACAACATCTGTTAAAATGGCCGTTCACCTCCTCTTTTTTGAAATCACAATACTAGCACTTCACATTGAAAAGTCCGAAATTATTTTTGGGAATAATTTAATTTTTCCAGATTATATATTTAAATTGTTATTAAATAATGATAAATTCAAAATTCCAATTTCATTTTCACAAATTTCAGAGCATGTTATACCTTCTTTCAAAATTTATTGTCAATTCAAGTTGCTATTCAATTATAATAAATAACTTGAACGTGGTTGTTCTATGATTTCTTACGAGCAGTTCCCCTCCAGTGTTTAGCGGCCGCGTAGCAGCTTCAGGCCCCTAGTATATTTATAAAACAGGATGAATAGGGATAAAATATGATACATAGGGATAAAATAGGATAGATAGGGATAAAACTGAATATATCCCACCCTTCGATTTATTGATCTTTATTTATCTTTCTTCGATAAATCGTTCGAAGTTAAACAGGATAGACATGGAGAAAACGGACGTATGTTCATTAACCCAGATAAAAGGAAGCATATCGCAATTTGTTTATCAATCTTTGATTTATCGTTTGATATAAAGCAGGATAGACAGGGTTAAAACAGGATTGTATTTTAAGAAAAGGGCTACAATAAGTCGAAACGGGATTGATAACGGGATGATAAACGGTATAAATGCAGTTGCATCTATCAAACTACGGTATAAGTTGTCTATCGATCTTCGATATATTGTTTGATTTAAAACAGGTTTGACAAGGATAAAACGGGATTTATTGATATTAACCGGGATAAAAGGGAAGAATTTGAAGGAAAGGAGAATAATCTATCCTATTTTATCCCTATGTATCATATTTTATCCCTATTTCATCCTGTTTTATAAATATATATCCCGTTTCACAGTGATTATTCCCCTTTTCTTAAAATTTTTCCCTTTTATCATAAATAATATCAATAAATCCCGTTTTATCCCTGTCAATCCTGCTTTAAATAAAACGATATATCGAAGATCGATATTCAAAGAGCGATATCCTTCCTTTTATCCTGCTTAATGAATATACATCCCGTTTTATCCATGTCTATCCTGTTTTATTTCGAACTATACAGGGTGTCCCAGGATTCAGTACCAATATTGAAGGAGTCAATTCTTTAGGTCAAAAGAAGACGTTTTTGTGGTATAACTTTTTTTCGAAAAACGCTTTCCGTGCGGGCCCCATTTTCCCCCTATTATCAGCTCCTATTATTCCCTATTAGTCCAATTTATCTCGAAAACGATGAGTTACAGCGAATAAACGCAAGTGACATTTTCTCAATATTTTTTCACGCTGAATCTTGTGGTGCCGTCAAAAATCAATTTTTGCCGCTAGACCACTTTTAGGTTCCGTATCCCCCCTAACCCCCTCAAAATGAGTTTTACCTTTTTTGGAGGTCAAAAATGAAAAGAACGCTAAAAATTACTCCCAGTCACGAATTTTCATTAATATTGGTTGATAAACATTGCCGCAGTGATAAAAAGACTATTTTTTTCCTCCAATTTTGGGGAGTCGTGGCGCCTAGGGAAAGCGGTTTTGGAGAAAAATTTATACCACAAAAACGTCTTTTTTTGACCCAGAGGATCGACTTCTTCAATATTCGTATTTAATCCTTGGACATCCTGTATATTGAAGATCGATAAACAAAGATCAATATAGGTGGGATGTATTCAATTTCATCCCTATCTATCCTATTTTATCCCTATCCATCCTGTTTTATAAATATATATCCCATTTCACAATGATTATTCCCCTTTTCTTAAAATTCTTCTCTTTTAACCCGGTTAATAGCAATAATCCCGTTTTATACCGGTCAAACCTGTTTTAAATCAAACGATACATCGAAGATCCATAAACAAAGAGCAATATCCTCCCTTTCATCCCGGTTAATGAAGATACATCCCGCTTTCTCCATGACTATCCTGTTTTATTTCGAACGATATATCGAAGGTAGATAAACAAAGATCAATGTATTGAAGGGAGGGATGTATTTAATTTATCCCTATCTATCCTATTTTACTCGTATCTATCCTATTTGTTCCCTATCCATCCTATTTTATAACTATCTATCTTTTTTTATAAATATACATCCCGTTTTACACTGATTTTTCGTCTTTCCTTAAAATTCCTCCCTTTTATCCAGGTTAATATCAATACATCCCGTTTTTATCTGTGTCCATCCTGTTTAATATCGAATGATATATGGAAGATTACATTTTAATTTCCCGAGGATTTTCAATGACGTGTTCTGATTGGTTAATGAGAGGACCAACGAGAATGCAAATTGACACGGACATGAACGCAAAAAAGGCCAGACCCTTCTTTAATATAGTAAGAAAACTACTCAGAGCAATACTTCTGGCAAAGGAAACAATGAAACGTACTCTTCAATGTGAAGAAAATAGTGAAGCGCTCAATCTTATTTGGACAGCAATAGGGCAGCCTCAAAATATGTGAAGTCAAAAACCTTTCTGCAACCCTGAAAAGAGATACCTTCTTCAGCGGAAGGAAGAAAAGAAAATGAAAAAGGTTTGACATTTTCACACTGATGGTGAACATCATACAATATCTACTTACCCTTAATTCAAAAACAGGAGTGTCAATTGTTTCAGCACCATGGAGTTTGAATACATCAACAATTTTTGAGAGAACATTGTTCCTTAAAGCCATATGCTCAGGACCATAATCTCGGGTACCTTTAGGAGTTTTAAGGATAAGTTTGCATTTGGAACTGCTGGTTCCATCCTCAGAAGTTACCTTGGCTTTCAGGGCCAGTAATTTGGCAATTTCTTCGGCAATCTGAAAAAACATTGAAGGAGTTTTAATTGAAAGGAATCGAGTCACATTGTGTATTTACTGAGAGAAAGATGTTCCTGCATCTTGCTGCAACTACAAATGCTGGTTCTTTTCATTCGCTTTAGCAGCGTCCATTCGAATATAATATGATACGCTGTCAGTTTGTACATATGCACTGAACATTTGTCTCCATTTTATCTTTGAATGGGTGAGTTTAAGTTTTTCATTATAAGAAATTGCTGGCGTTTTTCTCATGGTGAAGAGTCTTGGATTCAGGCCCTCCGATTCCTTAGCGGACGAAAGACAAGTTCCGAACTTTCAATTATGATTTATAGGATAAAATATACGTGTATGTCTAGCCTTTCCATCTGTGAGTGGGTGAATTTTAGTTTTTCATTTAGTAATAAATTGCTATGGGTTTTCTCAAGGTAAGGGGTCCTGGATTTGGGCCCTCCGACGGAAGGCGACTCCCGGACTCTCAAGCGGGTTTCTTTTCTGGCAGATTAAGGCAGATTTTTCCACTCTATATTTTCATCATAGAATGAACAATTTTTTGTTTTCACTTTTTCGAAGCATAGCCGGTTTCAAAATAAATTACATCTTAATTTTCTTAATATTTTATTAAGCATCCGCCACTCTGGAAAACCAGAGCTGTTCTATTTCTAAGTATCCCGTTTTTTTAATGCAGTAATAATTTTAAAAGGGTTTCGGGGGGGGGGGGGGGGGAAGGGATGAAGGTTTGCAGAATTTACTAACTACTTACAGAAAGCAGTCTGCAAACTTTTTGTTAACCAAATCCTTCAAAGCAACGCTTCCTCGTCTTTCCATACAACCATCTGCTTTCTCGGTTCAAGAGGTAAGTTTCCTCATAATTTTACATTTTTGACTGATACGTTGCCGTATCACGCCGAATCACGAGATTAGTTATAGTTAGTCTTTCTAGTGCATATGAACAAACTGATAGGTAGCGTTTGTAGTTGCAGCAAGATGCAGTATAGGAACATTCATCCGGAATAAAAGTAGTAAAACGGTAATAAGGCAATCTTACAGTTTCGTAGGGACAATTTATCAAAACATTTCGTAAAATTTCCCATAAATAAAGACAATTCTGCAAGGTATCTCGTCCAAATACGATCATTTTATGATCAAATTTATAATTTTAAAGTTCGAAACTTGGCAACGTCGAAACGGGAGTAAAAAAATTTCCGGTCATGAAAATTTCGGGGAATTTGCTACTTGTATGAGAGAATAACACACTAAAAATTCAGATCAATTCATTAAGACATGGCCCCATGCCATCGTGTCACCTCCAAACCAAAAATTTTCAAATTGAAAACTTGGCAACGTTGCAACGAGAAAAAATATTTTCCGGCCATGAAAATTTCAGGAAATTTTCACCTCATATCGGAGGATAACATACTAAAAATTCAGACCGATCCAAGAGGCAGGGGGCTCGTGTCACAACTTTTTTTGCAAAATCCATAATTTTTAGGTTAGAAACTTTGCAACGTTGTAACGGGAGCAAAGAAAATTTCTCGGTCATGAGAATTTCAGGAATGTCGTACTTCATACCAGAGAATAAACATATTAAAAATTCAGATCAATCCAAGAAGAAATGGGGCATGGGGGGAGGGGGGGAATTCAGTTGCCCTGCATGAGCCTATTCTCCAAAAAAAGCCTAAAAAACCATGAAATCGCGATTATTTCTCCAGGAGCTCCGACAACCGATTTCAAAATTGTGGTTTTTAGTATCTGGTAGTGCTCCTCTTGACATTCCAGCTTAAATTTTTAAGTCACGACCAACTTCGAGTTAAACCCCTTTCAGGAGCACCATGATGGGCTTTGATTTCTTGGCAAGATAATGTAATAATATTTTGGCTCAAGTCACTTGCGACTGATTTTTATTGAAAATATGATTTGACCCTTTTTTTTCAAGGTGTTCATGGATATCGATATGAATTTCACCTTCCGCAATCCTTCCTGCAAGATGGCTTTTGCAAAGCCATCTTGCAGTTAACATTCTTATTGGCGATTGAAGTTGAGATTAAAATCTTGAATGTATGCTGAGACAAGTATCAGTCTGACAAACTCTGAATCAAAACTATTCATCAAGTTAATGAATGCGATAAGATGGCACCATTCATAAGAGGTGCCATTGACATTAAGGACTTCGGTCTCACCATGTGACGAGTGCGCTCTACCATACAGGGTCTGTTTTTCTTGGCAGTTGGAGTTGGCCAGTTGGTTTCATTTCATCTCACCGAGACAAGTATGTGCAGAAGTTTGTAAGAAAAAATTGGAACAATATCAACAAGTCATCAGATGTAGCATTTGAGCATGAAAGGCACTTGCGATACTTTGGCCAGAAGGTGATGACATCAGGATTTGCTTCACAGTCACCCCGACCCTGAAGTGCTTGCGCTCTTGGAAGGGGACTGGTGCAACAGGAGATTAAAACTTTGCAAGCCTCATGAGCTTGGAATCCAGGGGTTCTTAAAATTAATTTTCATTTAGATAAGGTATCTCCCTACGCTCTACATTCGCAGATAAGGGTCCCTGCGACCATGGCCAGGTATAGCCATCCGCAGTTTTTATTTGAATAAAAGAAACCATTTTTGATTTGAACCTCTTCAAAGTACCGAGGCAGTATCTTAGTGGCTAAACTGTAAAAATTAATCACCAAGTTTATTCTTCTAAGTTCAGATTAAGCTTTTCAAGTTTATTCTTCTAAGTTCAGATTAAGCTTTTCAAAGATGAAATTATCATCTGAAGGAGTACATAGTAAAAGCTCAGTGCCCTAAATTTGCATACCTGGTAATGCTTAGTTCCAGCGCTCTACCTGGCCGAATTTCATGATTTTTGCTGCCATCGACAGACAATTGTCACTGGATGAGCCCGCTCTATTCAGATTTTGAAAATATGACCCTGGTTTTTCTAAATTGTGTGGTAAAGTTGCGAATTCTCCCATTTAAACAATGTAAACTTTTATTTTCTGTCATAGTTCGTTGGAGCGTTCCACTGGGCCGATTTCCATGATTTTTACGGTTATCAACAGGTGATAGGCCCTAGATGAGCCCGCTCTAATCAGATTTTAGAAATAGGACCAATGTTTTTTTTACAATCACCTTATAAAATTGAGCAAATTTACAGAATGCTCCGCAACTGCTGCCGCTATGCACGGAGGATTGTGCAGTAGCCGAATAGCCTGTGCATAAGCTCTACTCTATGAATAGCAGATTCTTCCACCGGCTAATAGTGTGGGTGGTGGCCGAGTTGTCTACGATGACAGGAGCACCTTTATTCCCTCCATAATCGTGGATTCCGATCCTGATATTAGCAATTATTTCTTAAAACCTGGAAATCATCTTTTGTTGTTTTACTGCACTGATTCTTGAATCAATCATTTCGAAACCCATCCTTTGGACTTCAAATTATTCCAAAACTAAGTAAAATCATTTTGTTTTAGAAAGTAAAATATACCTTAAGTATATTGTAATTATTTGGGGGAAAAATAAGACCAAAATTGATAAGAAGCTGGAAGGAAGAGCCGCAACGATAAAAATAAGAAATGAAAGAAAATTTAAAGAAAAATATGACGAAAAAAATCACAATAAAGAGAAAATTAGACAGTGTTGACAGTCTATTAGGCTCTTACTCCTTCTGTCATGAAAGTTTCTGTCACAAAGCCGAGATTTGTTATACAAATTTTACCATGAAAATATGAATTTTATTAACGCTGCGGCTACGAAAAACTTTGATAGTGCGGAGCACCTTCAGGGGGTTTAGCCATATAGCAGCCAACAGGCCGATTATTGAAATTTAAACCAGCCCGATAAGACATCGAATTGCGATATATTGCATGGTTAAGATAGGGCTATGTCTTGTCGTGTCGGGCTGACATAGTTTCAATAATCGGGCCGCAGGGGGCATTACTATTGTCGAAAAATAGTCAAATATCCGAATACTTTCACCAACATTCAATTGTGATGCGATTATTTCCGTGAACATATTTCAAATGTTGAATAATATGCAATTACTAAAATATTCGACCATCCCTATTGTGCACAAATAAAAAAATCAGGGTTTGCTTGCATCAATAATTATCAACGGAGTCATTGAAGTACATGGAAAGTAATAGTGATTCAAATCTCCTCAGAAACTTACTGTGATATCACCACACCATGCCCATGCTCCAAAAGGTTGCAATTTTTCATGAAAAATAAAATTTTGAAGTTTCACGTGAAATATTTCATGAACTTTCAGAAATTTTTAAAAATATTGAAAAATAACAGTTCCTTTTCATGTTTTGCAAGATGTAAAATTTGTGTCTGTCCCTTGTTTTGGTGTATTTGAGTGCGGGTTTTATACTCTAACGCCAGAATAATATGAAGCTTTTATAAGTCCGTGAAATTGCAAGAAATTTCCAATCTTTCATATTTTCCATTTCACGCCTGCAACCCTGATGCTCCAACCTACTATAGAGTGGAGCATGATATACCTACCTGCGGTTCAGTTTTGGAAGATAGAGTGCGGCGGAGATCACATCTCAGACTCAGGTACGAGGACAACTTTCTTAAAATCATGATGTATCTGTTGCGAAAATCAAGGCAGTTTACTCGGAATATTCGAGGGGAAACATTCGATGCTCTACTTTGGTATTAAAAACTGACAGTAAATTACAGGCAATTGAATTGCTTTAGCTAAAATAAACTGATAAAGCAGGGTGACAAAAGGCACACAACCCTTGAGACTTAGGCAGGTATGATTTCTGAGACCTCATCATGGACTTGTGATACCGAAAGAGTTCAGAAATAATTCAAGTTGACACACAGGTATCAAGTTGAGAGAAGGACTTGTCTCAAGGTCCCAGGTCGGAGGGTTCAAGAAATTCACATACGAGGAGCAAATCAAGAAAACGCGCTGCAAGTCTAAGCAACAGAAAATTCAAAGGTTTGAGGTTAGGAAAACTAACATGTGATGAAACCTACCTCATCTTTGGGTACTTTGGCCGACTTGAGTTTCCTGACTTTATCACCCTGCTCAGTAATGCGTTTGGTAAGAGAATCGTTGCCTGCCATTCTTAAATTCTAAGATAATACTTGAGGTACTTAGTTTACATAAATTTTTAGAACAGCAACGTGTCACATTGATTGGATAATGTCAATTACTAGAGTCCCTTTATACCCAGAGTTACGACAACTCGATTATCAGCTGACTGGCAGCCGTCGGTTTTTGCGTTTGGCCCAGATATTCCAGACCAAATTCTCATCAAAAACCAAAGTCTGTCATCGGTGTCAAACTCGCTCCTAATGTAAACAAACGAACGGCGACATAGTCCGGACATAAACAAAGCGTACCCAGAGCGGACTTCCTCGAGATGTTCCAGACTCAATTTCTCAGCGTTAGCGTTTCTTCACCTCGACAAAAGAACTTTCGTCCGCGTCTAACATTTATCCCTTTCGTAAAATCAAATATCAATTACCCCGTTGATCTGTTCATGGTGATTTCAAGTGAAATTGCGGCGAGATACTCCAGACTCCTAATGTAAACAAAGCGGCCTGTACCTGGTCGAGATGTTTCGGACTCATTTCTTCATTTACGTTTCTTCATCTCGACCAAAGAAGTTTCTCGCGCATTCAAAGTAACATTTTCCGGTTCCATTGTTAGAGAAGAAACAAGTCATTTTGTTGTAAGTTAGGATAATATTTGTGTTGATTAAGTGGCTTGAGCATTGGACTACCTGGCTGCGCCTTGCATAGCTGCCTCTATATCAAGATGATCGGGAGAAAAGCTTACTGGTTGATGTGCGAATCTGAATCCTAAATCCCTAGGAACGGTAGTTGTGAAAACCAGACGGATGTACAATGCTAGGTACCTTGCTCCTCACTCACTTTCTCATGGATGTTCACTGGTCTCTCCAAGGTTCTGGTTTTGCGATGCGTTGAAGCCAATGCTTTAAGTTTAGCTATAACAACCAGGCTTCGGAGATACTAATTAACAATCCTAGCAGTCACCAAATTCTCCAGCAAACCCGCATAGTTGTCTATTAACAGCTGAAGAAGCAATGGAAACCGTATTTACCTATGACAACAAGATTTTTCCCGTTGGAACTCTGATAGTAAGTATGAGGGGGAACTATCACCTTTAAGGCACGTTTCTCCATGAATTTTCTTGTTTTATGGCATCAAACTAAGTAGAACTCAAGGAAAATGAGGCAAAACTTTACAAGTTACCATGTAAGGTTCATCTGCTCAAAAAATAGAATAAAGTCTAAAATTCCTAATGAACATCACCAAGATGGTTCTGCCACCAGCAGTTCATTTTTTAAGGCACGGATCAAATACGGTTATCTATTATTCTCACGGTGCCCATCAAATTATAGGTAAGAAACCTAGTCCTGTAATAATAATGGCATGGAATGACGGGCTCTAATTGGTGACTTGACCATCCCCAATAAGTTATCGAAAGAATTTACTTCTTAAAAGATCCTTTGCGAATAAAGCCAAGTAAATAGGTATGCAGATAAAAGTCCCGTGTGATATGTGAAGTGTACTTATTCAAAGTAATTTCAAAGGGAAGGGATGAAATGTTCAAAAGGTAACGTCCAAATTTGCAAAGTTGTAGAGGCGCTAGGCACAAATTGGACAAGGTGCCGCTAAGTAATGATTAAATGAATTTTTTATTGTTATTAATTACGGAAAAGAGGAAAAGAGAATCAGGCCGAATGCCAAAATTCGAAAAGTGTAGGGTGGTGTAGGAGCCGAACCTTCTTCGATATTACGGGCGGCGAGCGGCAACCTGATTGGCTACGAAGATTGCCGAGCATGAACGAAGGCCTACTCGCCGCTTGGTAGGTGTTGACGGCGGTTTGACAAACAGCAGTTTTTGGTGAAATGTGGTCCGGAATATCTGGGCCAATCTAGAGTCCCTTTATACTGAGAGTCAAGACAATTCGGCTCATGGATGTCACAAACGGGAATAAAGATTACAGAAATTGAACGTTTTTCGTAATCTTTGATCGGCCCATTCTCAAATGCCTTTCTCCGTTCCTCCTCTCATTCCGTTTGTTCCTTGCCGAACCCGTAATTCCCTGGTCCATT